TTTTTTTTTTTTTTTTTGAAATTTTGGAAAAGATGATCTCCTGATGCCAGCACCCATGATTTTAACGCAAGAATCTTGACCATTGAACCGCTTGTTAGTTCTACACTATCTTTCAGATACTGTATTCTTCAGTCTTCAAGTGGCTTGTGCGTGTATTCTTAAGCCAACTCACATTGTTACCAATTTGCAGTTCACAAAATGCAGTTTACCAGGATGGAGGCTGGACAGGTCTTGGAAGTATAACTATTAGAGAAAAACAAGGCGGTAGTAATTATACCAAGTGGTTCCTTGCGAAGGATCATCTGCAAGTGGGTGATATGGTACGATCTAGAAAGTCACCAAACTCGTGCAAACCTGAAAACATGGACGTACCAGAGGGAAGTGTAGTTGGTTTAGAACGTGATACGGATCGCGATGGACTTGTTTTGGTGCGGATGCATGGACTTCATGACCCAATAAGAGTTCATGTTTCTACATTAGAACGTATCACATTTGGATTGGCTGCAGGAGATTGGGTGCTCTTGAAGAAAGAAGACAGGAAGCATTTGGCTGTGGGTATTCTTCACTCCATCGACCGTGATGGAAATGTAGCAGTTGGATTTATAGGACTCGAGACTCTTTGGAAAGGCAATTACTCAGAGCTCCAAATGGCACAACCTTACTGTGTAGGGCAGTTCGTAAGACTGAGATCAAATGTTTTCAGCCCTTGTTTTGAATGGCCGTGGAGAAGATATGGTGAGTGGGCAGCAGGCAGAATTCGTCAGATACTTCCAAATGGCTGCCTTGTGGTTGGGTTCCCGGGTAGATTGACACTCAGTAATGAAAACAAAAGCTTCTTGGCTGATCCAGCTGAAGTTGAACTTGTGTCATTCGACACTTGTCCAGGTGTGGTGAAGAAGTATCAACATCTTGAGGATTTTCACTGGGCGGTCAGACCATTACTAATAGCATTGGGTCTGTTTACTGCCATGAAGCTTGGGCTTCGTGTTGGGAGGAAATTGGGGAGGTCCAAGGTGAAGAAGGGACATAATCCAGCAATACAAAATGATGGTCAACATGTTGATGGCGAAACTGGTGAGAACGCAGCATGGCGTCCTCCAAAAGTTGCCAAAATTTTCAGATAAGGTACTACAGAAACCGAGTTGCCATGATTCGGAAACTTGGCCTGTTGTGGAAAGCTGTAAATTTATTTAAAATCTGTGTCAAAATTTGGCAAGCTCTTTTGTTATTGTAAATAGATGGTCGTTCTTCAAAGTATTTTGTATACTACATGCATTTATGTTCATTGATCTTTTGTGTATATAAGTTGTTGATCTCCTTTTTTGTACCGTTGACGTGGACTATATATACCAAATCCACTCGTATTCATGCAAGCTAATTCAACCATGTTGGACAGATTACCAGTCGACGGTATTTCGAATTTGAACGTAAAAGAAGTTTTATAACATGAGATAAATATGTTTGGACGCCAACAAGATATATAAGTGGAATTACACGATAATGAACAATCAACAAAAAGGGAAACTACAAGCCAAGATAAAATATCCTACTTTATCAACAAAAAGTTCAACTCAAGAGGAGAGAATATATGGCTTACTGTAGATATATTTACATTACTCCCAAATGACACAAAAGAGTAAAATATTTATAGTGTTACATGTGAAATAGTGATTATTGGATGAAATGACACGTGACCTCTTCTTCTTAATCAAAGTATCTTATCCTAAGTATTAATTTTGACCCAACTAACCTGTGGTGCATTAAATGCTCCTAAAAAGGGATATCCACCCTATAACCTATGTTGAAAGGATTTTGACGTATTAAAATCAATTATTTCAACAAGATTTCATGAATTCAAGATCTTCAAATGGGATCGTTATTTGCCATGGTAGAGCTTCGGATTTGACTTCGTTGAGCCTCATCACTTCGGCAGAGCCTTGGATTTAACTTTGGCAAAGGGGCTTCGGCAAGGCCATTCACATGGGACTGCTTCGGGGAAAGTGGACTTCGGTGCTCCAGATTTAGTGGACTTTGATAGGTCCTATACACTCCACGTGGCTTCTGCAAAGGAGGCTTCGGTGGGTTAGCCACGTGGGACGTCAGGTGGCAAAGCATGACGTTAAGTTGTAACATACATTTAAGTTCGATGAGCTTGTGTATATTGTACATTATGTTTATGTTATTATGTGTGCCTCATTATTTCAAGGGAAACGTCCAATATGATTTTTAAGTAAAAATGTCCCAATTATGACTAAAAGTAAGATGTTGTCTTTGGAACTCACTACTAGCCATCCCCACTCTGAGAACGACAACATGTAATTGACATTATGTATAGGCGTAACAAAAAAAAACTCTTTCTTTCTTCTTTGCCTTGGATACTTGCATTCCCCATGATCTTACCAAAAATCGTCACCTGTTGGATCCCGAGCTTGAGCACTGAGATTGATCACGAACAAGATCTTTCGGTACCTGAAACAAAGGCGTCGAGGTGTGTCCTCGTCGCCCCTCCGATGCTTAAGTCAGACAGGAAAATTGAGTATATATTGCTGAATGTATGTGTGGAAAAACGTACCTGAATAATGGATGAGAATAGTGTATTTATAGAGGTAGGTAGTTGAGTCCTAGAAGGACTCATCTCCTTATTTTTAGGAGATAGCGTAGTGATTGGAGTTGTATGGAAGTCTCCTTCCTTATTTGAAGTGTTCCTCAAGGTAAAACTCCTTCAGGACCTAGGATTCCTAATTTGAGGTAATTGGATAGGGTTAGGGCTCTTTCGGGACGAGGACTAGTAACGCTTGATCACGGGGCACTTTGAGAATTTGGCTAAGGCAAAATCCCGAGCATATACCCCCGAGGACTACCAATGTGATTTTGGAGGTATTTTGGAAGGTC